AAAACATTGTCTTTACAACTAACAATCCTKACATATGCCCGCTTTGTTGATATGAAAAACATCTTCCTTTTYAGTTTAGATTCCATATGAGCATACTAAAAGTGGTCATTTCTACTATTATTAATGTTGAAAGAGGTAAACTATGATGATGAATGTCTTAAACTGGTTCTTTACCTCTCTTACATTTTAACTTCAAATTCCAGTTTTTCTATATATCTTGATTACAAAGGTCTTGTCTAATTGATAAAGCTACTAAAATTGTTTCCACCTGTAAGGTTTATTCTAGAAATAGAAAAATGAAGAAAGAAGCACTTATTTTTGATTTGACATGTTGCATACTTAGAGAAATGAGTTTCTTTTACTGTGAAGATTTAAAATCTAATCACAATTTGACTGAGATTTGTCCCCTATAAATTAAATAACAAAATGAAACAAAGTGGAAGATGAAAGAACTTTTAAATTCAGAAATATTAATTACAGTTTTACTTTTTACATGTGAAGATTTCCAAAGTGAGGCTTATAACATCACCAAGCTTCACTTGGATGGTGGCTAGACAGAAGCAAGAAAAATAAATGCATAAAACTAGTGTTAAACATGTAAGAAAAATGCATATTTTACATATAAGTATAATCCAGCATATATAAACTATATACATGTATATACAATGTATATACATATATAATAGTGCTATGTGTATATATGAATATACACATGATTGCCCAATTGCACATGTGTTATTGCTCCTATTACTTTAAAGGCCTATAATTGAGTCAGTAGAACACTTACATGGTGAATTTAGTGATATTTATGTTCTGATTACCTGAATTTTCATAGTTGATGATATCAAGTTAAGTATAAGCTATAAATGTCTAAGTTCAGGGTAAAATAGCTCAAGTCATTTAAGATGGCCTGACCTTTTATTATCATTTCCTCTCACAGTATCTTGACTTATCATTGTAAATATAGGCCTCACATTTTGTGAAGCATTTTATTAATGTTCCCTTTGTCATCGCCATTTCACAAAAAGTGCTACATTTTTCAGCTTAGACCACACAATTTCAAAAAGACAGGGTTGTACAAATAATAGATCTGCGTTAAATGGATCAAAATGATATTTTTAGATGGCTAAAAAGGTCTTCTGCTTCATAATTGTAATATGGGTTTTCATAATCCAAAATACAAATACTGCTTTGTTCAGATATCAAAGTTTAAAACTAAAATTCCCAGGTAAGAAAATAAAATTTCAAACTCAGTCATTAAAACTTTTCCTTGTGATTCTCTCTCTGAACTTTTATTAAAAATATGGTATTCATCATACTTATTTTTAAAGTATTTTGCAATTAGATGAAATAATGTCTTTCTAAATAAAAATATAAAAGCATCCACACAAATAATACCACAAAATTATATATAACATATTAAAGCTATTGCTGAATTAAACTAATAGTTCATTTGCAATTATTTTTCACTAAACATGTTGAAGGGACATTACAATATGTTTGTTACTTCCAAATATTATTACTAGAATTAGTAATAAAAATAGCAATGAATAATGGCAAATATCTGTCCAATCTGGATCTGTTTCAGTATAGCAGAACACTGCTAGAAATTGAATTAGTTATCTATTTTTTTCTTAAAAATAAATATTTTACTGCAGCAGAAGCATAAAGCAGATGCTAATCTGTACCTATATTAATGTCCATGGTACTTTATAGAATCATATCTGGTATTATAATTTAAAGCCAACTTAATTGATATTAATACAAAATTAAAACAAGTGACCCTATCCAGGGGGTAGAAAAGTCCATGGAAGAAAAAAAAATCTCTCAAATACAAAATTCCATTCTCATATAAATTTATTTCCACTAAATAAATAAATGTATTTTTATTCAAGGGTGAAATTACTACCTATATTTAAGACAAGACAGGCTCACTTTCTGTATTTGATAAATAAAATATAAACATTATAATTAGCAAGTTATATCATAATTCAATATAGTTTATGGAGCCTCATTTTTCAAATGTTGAAAGCACCAGGGTCTCTAGGAATTATACTTTCACCTGGTTTGTATAATATGCCTGTTATGGAGATGAGCATGTTTATTAAGTAAATACCAGAAGCATCTAGCTTTCCACTCTTATGTATGCTTTTCTCCTATTCAAAATATTTGATTGGATGAAATGGAGATATGAGGAAACACTAATTTAAAGGGACTCCATAAATTGAGTTTTAAAATACTTTCAAGGAATAGCACTGGCTCCCATGAAGAAGAAAGAGAAGGAGAAGAAGAAGAAGAGGAGGAGGACGAGGACAAGGACGAGTAGGAGGAGGAAGAAGAAATAAGCAAGGTGAGTTAACTAGAAAAAGATAACCTATAGGAAAGTTAAAACAAAAAAGAAGAAGAAGAAAAAGAAATGACCTATTTAATAGTGGCCCTAACTCTATTGAATAAGAATTTTGTTTCTCTTGTATAAGAATTTTGTTTCAATATTGTGCATGAATAAATAATYATTTATGTTCAAGGGCTTTTTGTTCATTTCTAAACTAAGTCCAAAACGTACTCCAATAACAGAGGGCAAATGTTGTAGACACAATATGTCAAATGCAAGGTAGTCCTGAAAGTTTCACTTATAATTGAAATACTTGTGATTTGTCTTTGTATACATATGTATATTAGAAGCTATATATAATTAATCAAGAGTTATATCAATAAGTTCTAGAAATTTGTAGGACGTTTAAAAAAAAAATACAATGCCCTCCTATTATTTCTTCCACACAGCTTTAGAAGCTGTTGGTATCACTCATTTCTGTGAGAAAAAAAAAAATATGATGTAAGGCATCAGTGACTTATGAAGAATTACATTCAACACATAATGATAATTTTTACTAAGGGCAGGTTGAGGAAACCAGGTGAAAACATTGGCCTCACTGCACAATTCTGTGCCTTCAGAATCTGTGGATCTTTGAAGCTCTGCTGCCCTCTACTGGCCTAATGGGATAAGTGCCAGCTTCAGAGCGCTCTGGTTGCATTTTAGCAAGACTGGCATCTTAAAAATCCAATTTTCTTTGGTTTCACTCACATGTAAATGGATCATAACTTGAACTATTGTCAAGTTAATTTTTCAACATCATTTTAATGTCATACAGAAAGKAAAATTCATTCAGTATCTTCTGTCTTACTTCAAGCCATCCTGGGGCCATTTGCTGAAAGTGGTTGGGAAAAACAGTGGTCAAACAAAACAGTGACAACTTTCACAAATAATACTATTTTGACAGTCCACTCAGCTTCAAGGCCTTTGATTTTGATTTAGTTGTGTGTATATGTGTAAATAGGAATTGGTGGGTGAAGGTGTATGTGTAATTTTAGTGCATATTTTATAAAGAATAGCAATTTCACTTTCCTTTTTCCTTATGTCATTTAGTATCTTAAGATGCATGGATCCTTGATTACTTGTCCTGAGTAATCCTGTATTTCTTCACAATCTAGCTGCTTTATTTTCTCCCAGTTGCATCCTGTCTAAGAGACAGTGCCTCATCAGATTAATAAGTTTGAAATTCACAGTCAAAGAAAAAGAAGTGAACTATAAATCAGATTTTGATAAATACCAATTGTATCCTGGGTTGGGATAGGGATGATGGATTTTAAAATTTGTCAACATCACAGTGCATCAAACTTGTTAATAAATTAGCGTTCAGTATAACATGTAAAAGAAATAATCATTTTTAAATGGGAGCACAAAAGGCATGGCATAGCTGAAATTTAAGGTTCAAGCTTTGTATCTTCTATATATAATGTATTATGTTTTTCAAAAACTTTTTATTAGGAAAGCTATACCAGACGCATAATCACTATACAATGATTAAACATTACCTTTACAATTTATAATCACTGAAATTACAGAATAAATATATGCACATTTCTTTTGAATCTTTGTGTGTGAGAGAGAAAACATTAAAAGTGCTTCCTACAAAGCTGTTAGTGATATATACCCAGTTGCTTTTTATTTTTTAATATTATTTATATATGTATATATTTATATATATATATATAAGAAAGTGCAGATGTTCTCCAAAAAATCTTGGCATCAGRATGAAATGTCACAAAGAGGGTGCTCAACCCTAGGTGTGTATCTCCAGCTGTTAAACCACCAGGCYTTTACTTCAGTAGGATCCAGCTTCGAATGTGACTTTTCCCAGGGTGGTAGGAGAGATGCTGTGAGCTGTACACTACAAGTGAAGGGCAGGTGGAGCTATGGAGAGGAGAGAAATGGATCAAACCTGAACTAAGCGGATTGGTTTGTGTGTGACTGTGTGTGACTCTCTGTGTGTGTGTGTGTGTGTGTACACCTGCGCCAAATGCAGGTTTAGGGACCTAACCATAAGCAGGGATTTGTGGTTTGCATATGGGTATGAGAGACAAGAGAGTGAGTGAGAACATTCGAGCAAGACCCGCCCCCTCCCTCCCCGTCTTGCAGTTTTCAGGCATGCAGCAAACTGCATTGTTAATACATGTACAGAATCTGTGCCATGATGAGAAGAGGAAAGAAAGCCACAAATGTCAACCCCCCTCCCTTTCAAATGAAGCTACAATAAAAGGGAAAAAAAAGGTTACTGAAAATAAAAAGACACATTGAATTTTACTTAATTAGGATCAATACAACGATCCCCAATATACCTTATACATGGCACAGTCAAAGTCTCAAGTTTCAGTATAAAAAAATAATGATAACATTTGCTGGCAAAAGTCTGCGAAGGCACTTCATTGATTAATGATCTGAGTATGGCCCTTCCTCCAAATCACATCTGAGAGGGGAGAGCATACATCTGTATTCTCTAGTTATCATGCGGTTTCAGTTCTCTTCAGGGTGGGGAAGATTGTGAGGATGGAGTTATTGGGACAAGTGTAAAAGGAGCAAGGGACATATTTCTTTTATTTTCCTTTTTTTTTTCTTTTGTGGAAAGAAAAAAAAAAAGCACTAATTTATTTTCTTCTTTCTGTTAGAACCTGTAGGTTGTCTTCTCCAGGACTTCGAGGTAATCCGGCTTGGTTTGAAGTTTGGCCCTTAACTCGAGGTAATCGCTTTTTTGGGTTTGGTGGTCTGTGAAGCCCTTTCCRGCTGAGAAGAGAAGGGTTTCTTTAAGCCTGGCGTCCTGCTGTAAGTCTGGGTATTGCATGCCAGGGGGATGGACGTGGAGTTCCTTTAATTTGGGCACTGTGCCGTAGAGACAGTCCACAAATCCCACTGTGCAGGGGGCGGGCTGTGGCCTCTCACGGTCAAGCAGCATACTGCCACCGCCACAGCCTCCCCCAGGAGGAAAGAGCACCACCCCGCCGTTCTTCTCATGGTGGCGGAACCCAGCCAAGTCTCCCCCAGTTCCCCCAACCACCCCTGAGACCCCACCAGCTGCTGAGTGGTGAGGGTGAGGGTGATGGTGATTCACCGTCACTATGGTGTTGAGCTGGGAGCTGGAAACGGCTAGGGCCCATTCCTTCTCTTTTTCCAGCAAGGTCCGGTAGTTGCTGTGGTTCTCCTTGGGTGTTTCAGCAAACTGCTCACTTCCTAGGAGAACCTCACCCATTCCTGGAGGTTGTGTTCCCCCAGGACCTCCACGTTCTGCACCCCCTGTCTCCTGGACAGCTGAAACAGCCACTTCCTCCTCCTCGCGAGGCTTGTAGATGGGGTTGTTGCACATCTGGGTCACTGGGTGGGGGATGTACTCATACACATGGCCCACAGGAGGAGCCTTCTCTGGGGAGGAAAGGGTRGGCCGGCCTCCACTCCCACTTCCACCACCACCACCTCCACCATCCTCAAACAGCCGGTGGCATTGCATCTGGATGCCAGTAAGGTCCACACCTTCTTGTCGCTTGCTCCTAAAGGGCAGCTTCTTGCGACGCCTTCGAAGCACATAGGCAAAGAGGCCTGCAGCAACAAAGACTGCTGAAAAAAACAAAACTAGCAGGCTGAGAATCAACACAGAAAGTGGCACAGGACCCCCAGGGGGAGAGAACTCATAAGGTGATTCGCTTGTTGGTCCCCCAACAAAATGAGAATCTCCAGGCTGGGCTGGGGATGCTCCATCTGGTGCAATATGCAGCATCTCTGGGCACAGGACTTCCAGCTCAATAGTACGCACATCACGGTGTGTGAGGTTTTCGGGGCTTCTACAAAGCACATCACCTACCACACTGACTGAGCTGATGGTTTCAATCCACTGTTTAAAGGGGACCAGATCACAAGTGCAGTCCCAAGGATTCTCATTGAGGTCTATCTGGACAATAGCATTCAAGTGTTCTAGGACACCAGCCACAGGAAGATAGAGGAAGTAGTTCTTCCTCAAGTTGAGCCGAGCCAGGGATGTGCCTGCAAAGGCATCTGTTGGCAAGGTCCTCAGCAAGTTATTGTTGAGGAACAGCAGCTTCAAGTTGGGCATGAGGCTAAAGGCTGCAGGCTGGATTTCCCGGATCACATTGAACTCGAAGTACAAGTAGTGCAAACTCTGTAGCCCGCGGAACATGCCCGGTGTCAGCTTCTCGATATCGTTGCCATTGAGAAAGAGGCTCTTTAGGTTGGGCAGGTTGATGAAGGCCCCATCCTGGACATAAGAAATACGATTGTTCCCCAGATGCAAGAGATCCAAAGAAGAAAAATTCCAGAAATCAGAACGGTATATTTTCTGAATCAGATTGCTACTCAGGTACAGTTTCTTGGCATTCAGTGGCCTTGGAAGAAGTTCAGAAATGTTATTAAATCCTCTCTCTTTGCAGTTGACAGTCAAGCCAAGGTCATTGATATGCAAATTACAGGTACACCCAGTAGGGCATATAATGGGAATTGGTGGTCTGGTCTGATAAGGAGCAATAGGAGGTTGGTTTGGACCAGGGTATAAAGCCTGGGATGTAGAGGGTGGTCTTGGTGTCCGGGGCTGCTTGGTGGGCTTAGGCTGTTTGTTTGAAGACTTGTATTCAACAGAAGAAGCAGTAAAATGGACAGAGGACAACATTGAGGAAGGTTTAGTTGGCCATGCATTCTCCTTGCTTGATGACAAGTGGGGAATCCCCAAACTAGCCTCCACCTCAGAGTCAGACAACAAAGGACAGAGTTCTGTCTTCCTGATTTCTCGAAGGTCCTTTCCATGGAAATGGAATGGTGTCTCACAGGTGATGTCTCCCACCAGGGCAGTGTAAGGAATGCGTTCCAGCCAACTCTTCAGTTGTACAATCTCACATGTACAGTTCCATGGATTTTCTTCTAGCTGGAGCTCCATCAGGCTCCTGCCAATGTGATCTAGCATTCCTCGGTAAAAAAGAACTTTTAACCTGTTTCCACGCAGGTCCAGGTGGGTTAAAGAGACAGCCTTAAATAAATTGGTTGGAAGCATGGGGATGAGATTATCATTTAAAATCAGAACCCTTAATTTGCTTAGGTTCCGAAAGGCCCCACTCTCAATGCGCTTAATAACATTGTAATCTGCCTGCAGATACTCCAAACTTTCCAGGCCAAGGAAGGTGTCGTTTCTGAAGACATCTAGTTTGTTCTCGTGTAGATACAGCCTCTTTAAAATCTTAAGACCATTGAAAGCTCCCATTTGAATGTCCTGCAAAGCATTGTTCCCAAGGTTAATGGACACAGCATTATTCAGATGAAGAAAACTGTTGGTGTATAATTTCCTCATCGAATTCCTCTGCAGATATAGTTTAAAAGGTCTTGACCAGTACTCAGTAATCTGACTAATATTTGTAAATCCTTTACTGTCACAATGTATATGAAAAAGGCTTTCTTTAACTTCACAGTAGCATGGATCAAAACAGGGCTCATCAATTTCYTCTGAGTCCTCTATCAGGGGAATCGGGGTAGTCCATCCTAGAGCAATTGTGCTTAGAAGAATTATCCACAGCATCCTCCCTCTGTGAAGCATCTCAGCTATGGAACGTTTCATCATTCGTAGTTGATTACAAAACTGCAACAGAAATAAAGATGCAGATTTTTAGCTTTTAGTCATATGCACTATTTTAATTGACTCCTACATGTGGGGCTATTTAAAAGCGATATAAAAACTTTAGCAGTTATTGAACTGACAATCAAAATGAGCCAGAAACATGCTTAACGTTTAGAATGTGCCCTATATTTTAAGCTTGGGAAACTTTGATATATTGAAACACGCAGTGACATTTTCCTGAACTAAGCCATACTTGGTAAATGGCATGTCACATGAACAAAAGCAGCTTGCATTGCCTCTCATGGAACACAACAGAACTGGAATACYGTGCGGCCTTTTAGACATGGGCAGATTCAGCAATAATTCCAATAATTTACCCATTAAACTTGTTTTCCTGCTAAAACTCACTGACATCAAAAATATCCATTATAAATTAGATTACAACTCTGATGGAAAAATATGTTCTTTAATTATATGTTTTTATTACAAAAAACATGACTTAACCCAAAGTTATTAAAGAGAATRATAAAGCATGAGCCGGTTGTCCAGTATCAGATGTTGAGATGTATAAGATGATTGGTATCGCAGGAAAATTTAAGATTTTTTTTAAGAAACTATCAAAACATGTTTAACTACAGTATGTGGTCAGTGACATATACTTCCCACGCCCCCTTTTGCCCAAGCATAAATTGTTGGCATCTCCTCCCATTGAATATGCAACTTCTATAGACTTTATCCTTTGTCTGTTTAAAGTGTTGAGCAGTGATTAGCCCTTCTAAAGAACATACCCATGCAATTGTCAGAGCTAAAGATAGTGACATCTAAAGGTTGCTAAGCCTGGGAGTGTCTGAATTAAAACATTTGCAGAGCTTAGTTTGGAATGTGTGTATGTGCCTTCAAGATCAACTGAGGAACCCTAAAAAGCTGGAAGGGCTGATGATGGGATAGAGAAGAGGTGGGTAGTTAAAGGCCACAGAGGGTGGAAACCTCAATTCTTACCTGCTCATAAATGATTGACCACATGAAATACATTTCAAAAAAAAAAAGACATCATTCTTTTCCAATCACAAGAAACATATGCAGTGCACTATTCTAAAAACATACAGAGCCTTCATCCATTGCTTCTTTGCCTAATATTATCACTATATGAAAGTGTATACATAAATAAATTATAAATAAATTATAATAATGCAGTTTTATCAGATTGCCCTTCCTGTTTCACTGAAATATCAATCAAAATTGAATAACTGATTTTAATCAATAAAAAAATCAGAGTTTCAAGCATGTATTTTTATCCCCACACATAGATACATACATCAAGGAAATATTTTAACTTGAAACACAGTGATATAATTGATAGGGAGAGTGAAAAGAATTTATCTTCGCATTCAACTTGCATATAATGTACACAGCTGTAAGGAGAAGAAAAACTGTGAGAAAGCAAAGAGAAATCTGCCTCAGGCATGCAATACTCAATTTTTAGAAACAATTAAATGAAAAAGAGAAGGCAGATGAGGCTACATTGCAGTACCAGTTAGTCTTCCCTGTCTCTCTTATAAAATATTAAAATCTATTTAAGTTCTTTCGTCTTCACCATTCTTTTCTTAAATGTTTTTTTTTTTTTCTTGTTTTTCACAACCCTGAGGTTTAGGAAGCACAAGCTCCAGATGTCTTTGACTTACCTATTTTGCAGGAGATTTTTTTTTTTTAAGCAATGAATATTTAAAAGAAAAAAAAAGCAAAACCTTGAGTTTAAGGATTCTTTCTCCTTCCTTCACCCTCCCTTCCTCTTGCTGAAGCTGAAGCAAAGGGGGATTGGGG